GAAGCGCTGCTGGAGACTCCAGAAAGGGGCGTGGCCATCAGGAGAGAGATGCTGGCGCTGAAACTTCCTGTCAGCTCCGCTTTGTCTGGTCTGCCTTACAAAGGCTACGACTATTCAAAGGTATTTACCGGTTCCCTCGTACTTTAAAGGGGCAGTATTATTAATAATATATAAATAAATGCCGTTATATATCAAATATCACTTATAAGAAATTTGACTTTGTAGTTTGCTAATTGCTGCTGGCTAGTCTGAAGGAGCTGAGTAGGGGAGGAGCTTCATCCTTGGAGGCGGGGCTAGGTCCACCCAGGTGCTTTGCACAACTGAATGGTTGCCATGGAAATTAAAGGATTTCTCAAACATGCATGAAAGAATCAAAGCAACACTCCAGGAATGTTTTTGATGAGGGAACAACATAACAATGTAAAACTCATAAAATTGATTTCACGTAACACTTCCCCTTTAAGTTATCCTGTTTTTATGTTGCCATAGAAACCGTTTCAGCTCCTCATCCGCTGCTTTGTGTTTCATTTTGTGTCGCTGTAGGTGATGGGCGCTTGCTGCGAGAACGTCATCGGCTACATGCCAGTGCCAGTGGGCGTGGCCGGCCCGCTGCTGTTGGACGGCCAGCAGTTTCATGTCCCCATGGCGACCACGGAGGGCTGCCTCGTGGCCAGCACCAACAGAGGATGCAGAGCGGTTTCTGTAGGTACACTGGCTCCTGCTCCAGTCATGTCCGGTGCACTCCGTCGCTAACCGTTAGCGCTCTTCTTCTTCTTCCCCCGTCCAGCTGAGCGGGGGCTGCAGCAGCAGGATCCTGGCCGACAGCATGACCAGGGGTCCTGTGGTGAGGCTGCCTTCGGCGTGCCGGGCCGCAGAGGTCAAAATGTGGCTGGAGACGACGGATGGGTTCGGCTTGGTCAAGGAAGCCTTCGACGAGACCAGCAGGTGGGAAACGACCGCGGAGGTGATTTTTTTTTATTTTTTGTTTCACCTGAGAGGCAGAAAGATCAAAACTAGACGTTTGTGTTTGCAGGTTTGCCCGTCTGGAGAAGCTGCTGGCCTGTGTGGCAGGAAGAAACCTTTACATTCGCTTCCAGTCGCAGACGGGCGACGCCATGGGGATGAACATGCTCTCTAAGGTACAGCCAGACAGCCAAGCTCTCCTTGTTGGCAGCATTGAACATTTTCAACACCTTTCAAAACCTTAAAGTATTTTATGTAGAGCTGAGCGATTGATCAAATGTTTGGTTTTATTATTGTTTAATATTTGGAAAGGATTTTTTTTTTTTTTGTGGTATTATGACTAAAATTCTCGTAGCCTCACCCTGACACTCCACCATGCAACTCACAGAAGGGTTGACTGAAGTAAGAAATACTCTCATTTGTAAATTTATCATTATTTTTACTTTTTAGAAAAGAAATTGGGGAAAAAAAAATGTGATTTTAAAATCAGAACTGAGATTTTTCACCAAGCGCTTTATTTTGTGCTACACCGACTCAAAACGGTGCTCGACTGTGGATGAAATGAGTTGGTTTTTTTCCCTTCATTTCTTGAAAAAGTTCCCAGTGTGTCCAACACCATAGATAAAGGTGTGTATGTGTGTGCGTGTGTGCGCGTGTGCACGCGCCCTTCAGGGGACGGAGCAGGCTCTGGGTCGGCTCAAGCAGCACTTCCCAGACATGGAGGTTCTGTCTGTCAGTGGTAACTACTGCACTGACAAAAAGTCTGCTGCCATCAACTGGATCCTGGGTCGGGGGAAGTCCGCTGTGTGTGAAGCCACCATCCCTGCCCAGGTGGTGAGGGAGGTAAAGGATCCAACAGGAAATGATGTCAGCTCGAGTTCCCGTCGTCCCTAGCTGTGCTCATAGTGTTGTGTAAATGTTCTGCTGCAGGTTCTGAAGAGCAGCACGGCCGCTCTGGTGGATCTGAACATCAGTAAGAACCTGGTGGGCTCGGCCATGGCCGGCAGCATAGGGGGCTTCAACGCACATGCTGCCAACATCGTCACCGCCATCTTCATCGCCTGTGGACAGGTAGAGCAGCACCGAGCGCGCTCAGACCGGAGCTGCTGTTAGTTTAGTGGTTAATGGACGGACTTGGTGTGACCAGTCGTCCTCCCAGTTCCTCACTGGTGCTGTTGCTATGGTGCAGGACCCGGCTCAGACCGTGGGGAGCTCCAGCTGCATCACTCAGATGGAGGCTGCCGGCCCAGACGGAGACGACCTGTACATCAGCTGCACCATGCCGTCCATAGAGCTGGGCACTGTGGGCGGAGGCACCAACCTGCCGCCACAGCAGGCCTGTCTGCAGGTACCACCACCCCAACCACCAATCTGCAGAATGCGGCAATTTTTTAAATCGGATTAATTGTCAGAATAATCAATTAATCGATAACTAAAATCCTCATCAGTTGCTACTTGGTGCACCTGCAGTGCAGGAAATGTTCTGAGGCGTTTCTGTCGTTCTTCCTCTACAGATGCTTGGTGTCGCCAGGCCCAACCAGCCGGGAGAGAACGCCCGCCAGCTGGCCCGCGTAGTGTGTGCCACCGTCCTGGCGGGGGAGCTGTCTCTGATGGCCGCTCTGGCAGCAGGACACCTCGTCAAAAGCCACATGACTCACAACAGGTAGGGTTGCTTGTTTTTTTTTAAGTTTTTGTTCCCAATGCTGCCTCCACCACCTTTTTCGGCCATTTCTGACTGCATGTCTCTCTCTCTCTCCCCTCTCAGATCTAAGACCAGCCTGCCCGAGATGGCTTTCCCAGCGACTGAGACAAACGTCCCTAAGCGTTGACGCTTCGTCCAAAACTGCTATAAACACAGCCTGTGTTTGGTTGCTCTCTGACTGCAAATCTTTTTTTTTTTTTTTTTTTTTTTGTTTGTTTCTCAGTGGAGATGTTACCATTACTAATGTGTGCTATTTATTTGCATCTTTTTTTTTTTCATCCTGGCCAATCAGCTTACTGAATCTGACATGTGAGAAAACCTGTTTAATGATTGTTAAACAGGTTTAAACCTGTCTGCATTTGCCAAAAGCTTGCTGGAGACGGTGCTGCAGATGTGTGTGAGGCCATTTCTGCTCACGTTTCGAACCCTGAATGTGTTTTTTCCTGCCAGTGTTGTAAGCTCCGGCCCGTGCCATCCTACCTGACTAAAAGCTCGCTGCTGTATACTGTGTATACTACGGAGCGGCCATGACTGCTGGTCTTCTTGGCTCCCGCTCGGATCCACTAACTAGTCGTCACTGCTGGGAAACAAGAGACTTAAAGCAATATTTATTTATTTTTTAACCTTTTCATGTGAAAGTATTGGATTCCTGCAGGTGGTGAATGTTAAAGGACGGTTGTGATAAATCAGACAGATTCTTGTATTGCCATCCTCAGAAGTGGCCTTATGCGTTACAAGTGGAGCTTTACATAGAATATCCAATTCAAAGAAATTTCTTACACTTGTAATCATATTTAAAAAATAAAACGCTACCTTTCTACTTGGTGAACTCATCTTTATAAAACAAAAGAAGCTCAAGTTCTTTAACAGCTTTTATTTTTCATACATTTTGTTTTTCTATGTCAAGATTATTTTCTCTTCAATTAAAATACCTTTTCCAAGTAATTTGATGAAGTCAAACGGATCTATGGTCAATATTCCTGAAACATCTTTGACATAGTATCACAAACATGTTTGTATTCAGTATTTGGCAGGAGGTTTTAAGAAAACTATTTAGTGGTATATGAAGAATAATCTGGTTTTAATCAGTCCACTCCATAAACTATTTGATTTCATTATAAGAATCTGTGTTTTAGGCAAAACCCATCACTTCATCTATAAAATTTACAATGTAGAAACAGAATTTCTACAAAAAAAGATTAATGTGCTTAAACTGTAAAGAGGACGAGAGTTTGAGGGAAAAAAAAAAAAAAAAAAAAAAAAAGGATAAATGGATTTATTTCACTTTCAAAACAGGGCAGAAGAGATGCCACAGTACAGTACATTTACAGGCCGATCCCAAAGCGTTAGTATGAACAACTTTACAAAAAGTCAAAGTACATTCAGTTTGACCAAAACACAGAAAACTCAATTTACAGGAAAATGTTTGCTTTCAGATTAAAACGGCCTAACCCTGGCATTTTTCCAACGAGCAGCAGGCCGAGCGAACTCCTCCATCGCGTCTTTCAGACAGAATGTCTGAATTCACAAGCTTAGGAATAACCGGGAAAGAAAACGTAGGAAAAAGTAGCAGAACAGACAAGGTAATGCAGTACAGAGAAAGAATAGAAAGTATTAAAAATAAGTAAAATTGAAATCTGTTAATTTGCCTTGATGTTACAGAGCGTAACATTCTTCCACATGATCAAGAAGAAAAAGCTGCAGTACAAATAATTTTTTTTAAATGACCTGTTCAAATTGTGCCAGTGGAGTCCTTCATGTAACAAATCCCAGAAATACTAACACTGATTGTGACACGTTTATTCTAGAGCTTGGAATATGGCTCGTTCTGTGGACAACATGAGTAACTCCTCACCGGGTTCATTTGTTCAGTCAAAAACACGGCAAGACCAGATTTGAGTCGAATAAAACGAACGCACCCGAGAGGCACTTCCTCTATCAGCAACCTTCTACGTCTTCCTGCGACACTAAGGCATCTGGGCTCGAGTCAAAGCTTTGCAAACCGTCGGCGGAAGCCATGACAACTATTTACATTCGTAGCGAAGCGTGGTCGCGAAGAAAGCAAAACTGGAACGGTGTTATTCACAGTTGGTGAATGTGCAGGCGTCGTGATAATCCCTGGTTCCTCCTTCAAACACCGGCATGTCGGGTGGTTTCATTAGAGAAACGTACAGCTTCTATCATCGGGCTCGCACGCTAACGGGAAGCCCTCTGGAGATTACACAGCCGAGATGTGGGGAAAATAATAATAATCAACTCAAAACATGACATTATCCACACAAAAATAGTTACTTATTTCAGTCTAAAAACTAAGATTTTCTTTGTTTTGTTTGTTTTATAAACTTCTTTCCAGAGTTTCCAAACATTTAGGTACATCAGGGGAAGCAGCTGCAGAGTGTTTCCCCTTCACTCTGATGGGTGGAGAGTCTTCTCAGTGTTGTTATTAAAAAATGGTAATCACGTCTTGTCCAGTCAATTTATAAACATTCTTTTTTTTTTCCAGACTAGTGGTGCTCTTCTCTTGAGCCTTATGATCTATCATGCACCCACCCTACGTTTTAGCTACAAACCAGGACAAAAAGAAAAGAAAAATAACGTCTTTTCTTGGAGGGATGGAGTTTGGAAATAGAGTCCCTCCAGTCCTTCTGCCGTAGATCTGACCTCATTTTTTGATCCTAAAAAAGATAAAGAACGGTGATGGCATCACTCTGCAATATTATTTTAAATGTAAAATAACCCCGTCTCAGCAGAAAACTCATTTTACCTGCATGTCTCAGAATAAGATGGGCTTGCCGCTGGTTTTTTCTTGCACATAGGAAGTGAAGCGCTTGAGGAACTTGGGGTACTCCCTCTTAGCTACGGCCCTGAGTACGGAGGCTGGAGCCCAGCCCCCCGGATTCACTGCACACACACAAACACACACGGAAACATTTAAATTATTTATAGAATAATATCCAATTACTCCCATCATTTTGACAACAAGTCAAAATGATGTCAAAGATTTTAAAAGGGGAGGAAAAAGGTTCCCATCAAGAGGTTGTGCTTAAAGTTGCTGCATTCACAGATTTTTCTCCAATTAACACTTTTGTTTAATGGACAGTTTGCGTTTATTATTACTATTTATATTAGATTGCATAGTTGGACTAATTTCTCCAAGATTTGTCTGGAAGCAATTAGTTTTCATTTAGCTTGTGGCATTTTATTTTGGTTTCCTGTCCTGGCTGCCCAGGTAAGCAGCAGGGCGTCAAACGTATTATTTGGTTGGTGTCACTGATGCAACTGGATGGAGTCAGAACAACAGTGTGAATGAAAAACAGGCGACAAAAAAAACTATTTCTGGAAAGTCTATAATCGGGTGATTAGCTTAAAAAACTTTTACCTTTTATTTTTCAAAATATAAGCTTTGATTTTTTGAAATAAAATTAGCAGACTAGAAGTTTATGTTTACAACTAGTACACACAAAAATATTATAGTTGGAAAAGATATAGAATAAGGTATGAACAGTCATGGCCAACTAATACAGTGTTCTAAATTAAAGTTGAAAATGTAAATATTGGAAATAATTGCATTAAATAAATAAAGGCATCAGAATTGGACCCAACAAACTAAAATCTAAATGCAAAATTTGGAAACAAAAAAAATTGAATAAACTGTATCACCACAGAAGTTTTTTAGTACATATTTATTTATTTGTCATCTGCTGTGAAACTATTTAAGCTCTTACTGTGCATCACTAACAGGCTAGCAGCTGATTGGTTACCCAATAAAACCAATGATCTATAGCTGAGCAACGTTAGTTGAGTTGACTGAATATATTCTGCATCCATGACATAGTATAGTTTTTTTTCATGTAGGTTATGTAACATATCATGTTCTCACATTAAATTTTAGTGGGCACATTAGAGTAACCGGTTACTGATTTTTTATGATTATTTTTATTCACTGCATTGTGGCACCGATTGTCTTCCATATAAATGAAAATGCAGTAGAATTACCATTGGCAACATAGGTGATTTTACACAGGATGTTGTCCCTGCTGATCTCTTTGTCTCCCTCTGGTGGACTGACCAGGGTCTGACAGATCATAGCGATGTTGATTTTGGCACGCACACATCTGCTGCTCGTCTGAACGAGGGAAGAAAACCAGAAGGTTACAGGAAGAACTCGGTTGTTGTGGTCTGTGGGACGTGGAGCGGATCTGGGTTCTGACCTGAGCCTCGTCGTGATCCACAGAGAAGTTGCACACCAGCCAGGTGTCGGGGTCATTCTCGTTGTTGGCCAAAATCTTCCTCATGGCAGAAAGGTACAGCACGTCCCTCTGGGATGCAGGCCACACACGCTGCAACACAGGTTGGCTCATCAGGCTGCAGATCTACAACACCAGGATGTTTGGTTTGGGACCTAAAGCATTCCAGCCTCTGGCTCTTACCTTGTGTGTTTGGTAGATTATTGCTGCGTTGTCTGAAAGTCTCTCCACCACATTGAAGTTTTCAATAGTAGCTGCAGAAAGAAGAACGTAATGTTTTTCATTTCATTTCCTGAAATGAAATGAAAAACAGCTCCTGAGCTGGTTGTCTGAACACAGGGTTCATTTAGGGTGTTTTCACACCCGATAGTCTGCTGAGTCGTGACTCAAACTCTGATACAGAGCAAAAAAGAAAACTCTGCTCCGCCCAAAAACCTGGGTCTCAGCTCGGTTGAAGTGAACTCTCATCTAATTCAAATGCGTATGTGAATGCAAAACTGACCAGAGCCGGCTCCAAAAGCTGCAGTCAGCCTTACTCAGAATGGGCAGGGCATTCTGGGTAAAAAACAACCAAAACAAACGCAAAAGTCTAGCAGCAGAAATGGCTCACTGTCTTTTCCTAAAGATGACGGAGTAATCATACAACTATTAGCTCCTCCATTTTTGTTTGTTTTTTGTGAAAAAGGGATTTGCTTCCAGTGTCTTCTTCAGAGGATTTTATGGCGTTTCCTTCAGTCGTTCGTGGAGCAGCGCCACCACAGGCGAGGAGGATAAACAGGTTTTTCAAAGGGCTTGGTTTGTTTGACACCAAACCCTGTAACATGCCTCATCAGCTGAAAATGTAACAAATGCTGCAGTCTACTGGACTTCCAGACCTCAAAGACTTACTTTCCCAGTCGTTGCGGTACATGGTGTCCCAAAAGTAGTGGCAGACTTCATGACCTGTGACTCCCTTCACAGAGTGGGTGGCCTTCAAAGGGTCCAACACAATCCCATTTTCCTCCACTTCTCTCCTGTAAACCTGCGTTGCAAACATGTCGGGAAACCTTCTTTATTCCTTATACCAAACTTAAAATGAACCTCCCATTTATTTGTGCTTTTTGGAATACCGTCACAGTTTCTGTGAATATGGCCTCACCTTCATCTCTCCCTCTTCTACAACCAGTTGCCAGTTGGCGTCTCCACCGACATCCTGCAGCGAGTAGGTCATGTGATTCTGCACCATCTCTTCCACCTACAACACAAGGCAAGCGACAGGAAGAGGGAATGAATAATTTAGATGCAATCAGAGAGCAGAGGGATTCTAAGGGATGGCGTCACCAAGTGGTAAACAATAGAAACAACAACTGATACTCATTGAAACATTAAAACCTCCACCTTCTTGGATGGAGAGCATCTGAGGAAAGCAATATCTAAGTCTCATTGCAGGTTCTCAGTTGTCTTGACTAGCCTTTATTGAGGAGTATCAGACAAAAGCAGACTATTTAAAGACCTTGCCTCATGAAAACATGATGTCCAGTTTAAACAGGGGAAACAGGAAAATGACTGAAAGACTTGCTCAGTGGTTCCACTATGACTCTATTGACCATTTAACTACACAAATTGGAGTTCAGAATCTGCTTAATGGAAACAAGATAATTTCAAAAAACCTCACATTTTTTGATGAAAAAGTTTTTGTGCTCGGATGAGATGGCTTTTCGGCCATATCAAAATTTTGCAAATTTCAATGGAAACATTTTTTTCCTTATGAGCCATGTGATCAACAACCCGGATAAAAAAAAGTCAAAGAAGAAGACAGGAAGTGGCAGGAGGATGATGGCGTGTGATGTTTTTTAACAATTTATCGTGTGAACAGATGTATTCACATCGCAATATTGTGTTTTTTCGATGTTGGCGCATTATCGATAAAGTTTTGTGCACATTTGTAATGGAAAGCTGGTGATGCTGGACAAATTGTGTGAAACGGGATTAGAGGAGGAGAAATGGAGGGGAGGTGTGTAAAATGATTAAAGTATCTTGTGAGGAGAACAGCACTCTAACCTTATCGGAGAACCGGTGCGAGCCGGAGGTGGAGTAGATGTCTTCAGGAGGAGGTGGGCTGGATCGCTCTATCCTCGTCTTCTCTGCCTGAGACTACACCCAAACAAACATTGGAAGTTTAGTTGTAATCATGATAAAAACATGAAAAAAGTGACAAATTGTTTTATTTTTTCTGATGGTTTTGTTTTACCTGTTCTTCAATTTTGTCCTGCCTGTCGAGAGCAGCTTCCACCGCATCAAAAAATTCATCCTCATTAATTAAACTGTTTGGTCCTTCCTATAAATGAGACAACTAAGTCAGTTATTTCTATTGCATAATGGAGAAATGTTACAATTATTTTACCTCATAATCTGGACCTCCAAAGTGAGACTTCTTCTTCAGCTCATTAAGGGCTGATATATAGCTTTCCTCTATTCTTCTTCTCTTTTCCATTTCCTACAAAAACAGACGTTAAATTACAGTCACGGTAAAAAGATTGGAAAGCAAACAAATCAAACGTGACCTTTTAGACTTCACAGCAGTCCAAATGTTACAGACCTTGTCCAGTCTCTTCTGCCAGCTGTCCTCTCTCTTTACCATCAGGTCGATACAGTGGGACAGAGTGGCTAAGATTCCAGCCGTGGTGGCCTTGAACGTGATGGCCTCGCCCTTAAAGTCTATTCCATTGATTCCCTTTGGATTCAAGGACTGAAACACTGAGCAAAGAGCAGAGAAATAAAAGCAAATGCTATGAATGACAATGACTTAGTTTATAGGATCAACGTGTAAAGTTTTCTGTTGCTTGGGGTGTTTCATTCCTAGTATGCGTTTCAGACAGGAAGATTATTGGTGGCGCACTGCCTCCAACATACATTACTGGCGCAAAAGGTTAAAAGTCTGCAAAATAAGATTTTTTTTTTCTTTTTGGAAGATGGTAGAAGTTCACTTTGGCAATGCCTTCTTTTGGATTAGCCATTAGCTTCTGGCTAAACCACCAAATTATCCGGATTTATACTAGATGAAGATTTCAAGAACTACAGGTGAGAAGTTAACTTTTTAGAAGATCCACACTCATCTATTTAATTTGAAAAATAATGAGGTCGTCTGAAGGAGACACAATGCTAACAGGTACTCAGAACTAATTGTTTTAAAGCTTCAAAAATGTCCACCACCATCAGAGTTGCTTACTAATTTTTCAGCTAAAGCAAATCTAATGTGTTTGAGACGACGACACAGAGGCCGCCCAATAAATTCTCAAAGAATTCACTTAGACATTTTGGTTAGCTTAAAATGATGTATAGTATCAGTAGTGACATATAGTAAACAGCTGTTCAAAGCACAAAGTAAAAGGTTGAAAATATTTACATGTAATTTGTTTGAATATGAGGCTTGAGTAGATTTACTTGGTGAGAATTTTGCATATGTTCTGAGTGGCTTAACTCGACTCCTTTGATTCTCCAAACTGAGGTCAATCTGACCACAGACTACAACAGGTTAGCCACAGGCAGCTCCACCCAGACCCATTTTATTAAGTTGAACTATCCCTTTACACAGTAAAAATTAAAGCTGAAACAATTAATCAGATTAATCGTCATAAATCGATTATTGAAATTATTCGGCAACTTCTTCAGTAGTCGAGTAATCGCTAACTGAAGTATAGTCTAAAAAAACAGCATTTGTTGAGAGAATAATATATTCAAAGCAGCTATTTAGTCAAAACTGTACAAAACACACACACACACACATATATATATATATATATATATATATATATCTATATATATATACATATATATAGATATAAAATTTAAGATAAAAAAAAAACCTGTCTGCTCTATCCAAAATTCGAGGGAACTAATTTTAGCTTCACCCAGTTCAAATTTTGTAAAAGAAAATATGTTAAATACCTTTTGCTGTCCAATTATTAATTAATTCATCCAACAAATAATCAATAGATCAACCAATCAACCAATCAACCAACCAAGATCAATCAATAGATCAACATCAACACTATTGATGTTAAGCAGAAAGGGCTGTGCTTTTCATATGTTGATGTTATAAGTATTTTGTTTATGCATCCTTTGCTACAAAAGATTGCGTGTTCACTAAAGGAATGCTGTGTTGTTATACTTTAGGCAATACAATATTTATTTTCTTATGTAAAAAAGGAATTGAATTATTTATTTGCATACTTTAATGCATTTCTAAAATTGTATAAAAATGGCTCAAGTGAAAAATCTGCAGAATGTGCCAGTTTTTTTCTGATTAATCGTCAAAATAATCGATTAATTGATAACCAAGCTAAATGTTAGTTGCAGCCGTATTAAAATTACAATAATTTTATAGCCTTTTACTGTAATTTTTTAATACTGTGTTCAAAACAAACCGATAAAATAGTCACTGAAGGACATTTTTTAAAAAAGAACTGTGAATTACTCACATTTTTCTTTGCTACCGTTGCTGTTGTGCAGAAACTCTCCGTCGGTGCGGGTGTTTGGGAAATCGTCTTCATCGTCCTCCACAACTGAAACAACACAGAAGGATTCAGACTGGACGGCACAAACCACAAACAGGTGATTTGCTACACAAAAGTCTTTTCTTGTCAGAGTGTCCCTTAAGGTCAGAGTTTCTGGACAGGGTCACGCCTAGTGGTCTGAATCATAACCGACTGCACAGCACAGCGGACCAACGGGGCCGACGGCCTTCTGCTGCTCTGGACAACATGACAATGGTCTGGTTTCATCCTCAGAATGGAGGGAGAGCCGGAGAGGAAGACAGGGAGAGAGATCAGGAGAACAAAAGCCGGGTTTCATTCATTGTGGTCGTCTAAGTGAAGACTGCCATCAACGAATGCTAAGCCGGCCAAGACGGAGAAGCAGTGAGGGGGCTGATCAAATCACTGCTGTCTGAGTCACAAAACACATTCCTTCCAAGATTTATTGCATATTTCTTCCTCCACAATTTTTCAGTCCCTCCAAAATGTTGCGATGATTCTCTTTGTGATTGTTGTGGCCTAAGATTATCATCTTTGTCAAAAAGTTGCAAATGTTACAAAAAAGTTGAAACTGCTGCACATAACCTTCCCTTTCATTATCTTCTTTTTTTCCATCAAGTTTTTATCCCTTAGAATAAAATGGACAAGACTGAATCATCGTCCTGCTGCTGGTCTCTGGTCCAACGTCTCCTCCCTGACTCTTTGCTCTTTATATTGTGACAGAGATTTTGCCTAAATATGTCAAAAGCAACAACGAGAACAACTTCTGTAGAGAAATTTAACAGGATTGTGTTTATTCCTGGCATTAACTGACAAGCAAGGGATGTAAAATAGGTAACAACATTAATATATGCAAATATAGGTATGATTGGTCAGATTTGTGGAAAAGCTGCGCCGATTGGTGAAAATTGCATGTCTGCACAGAATTTACAAATGATGAGTGAATTTGAATTAATAGTTGCAATCATGACATCGAATCTTCCTGGAGGAGCTGATTTTACAACATTTCACTGTTAAGTGTCAAGAACTCTTAACCTTAAGTTAGTTTGAAGCAACTTGGACCAATCTGTGCTTTCCACACACATTGAAACACAAACAGTAGATGGCTAATTACAGACTAGCTAACACATACATAGATTGTTGTGTAAACTGTTTATTATTGCTTTTTTATTGTCGTATCTAAAGTTCAAAAGCTCTAATTTGTTGATTCTTTTGAGGCCAAAAGTAAAACTCGTTAATTTTTCTGAAAGAAACAAAAAGCATAAAAACAAAGTAGTAATTTACTAGGAGCAAATAAAAAATGACTTGTAGAGCATAATTTCCTGACTTCATATTTCACAAGAGAAATGAATATGCTCTGGATTCATGTTTATTGGATGAATTCATTTCATAGTCCACCTTCCTGACCGTTTTTAGAGCTCTACAAGGAACTCTGACCATGTAAAGTCCATGTTCCCGTCACATCATTTTTGTTTCTTAGTGGTTCTTACTTTTGTCTCTCTGCAGCTCGTCCTTGGACACATCGGCACAGCTATCAAAGTACTTCTGCAGCGTGTCCACCTGCCTGCACAAGATGTCTCTGAACGTCTCCATCTCGGCCAGCTTCTCTCGTAGACTGTGACCCTTCTGGGGAAAAATATTAAATCAAAATTATGACCCATATAGAGCCTTTTTAGTCTGGATGACTAACTTTTTTTGGTGAAATTCAGGGAATGCAACAATCATGATTTTTTTTTCTTTTGCACCAATTCCAAATTCTGAAGAAATATGATAGCACTTGTTTTCTAAATTAGTGTAGAGGCGATTAAATATCATTGTAAAAATAGGGTTTACCATTTAAAATAATTACAGACTTGACATATTAAACCTGTTTTAGCATGTTGTGTTACAATGCAAAAACAGTTTGTATATTTTAGTGAATTTGGATGCTTTACTCTGGGATGATCAACTTTGTATTTTGTTCTTATTCTTAGCTAAAAATCTGCCTCCTGCTCTTTTGTCACCTGAACAAACAGCAAATATGTCTTAGAAAATACAGCTTACCAATAAACAGCTTCTTACATCTTTGCTCTCCGACTTTTCTTTTTTTCTCCTTTTTTGAAAATACTAGAAATAGCCAACTTTGAGTAGGTGCACTGAAGAGAGCACCTACTGGAAAAAACATCTGATTTTTCACTTCAGAAGCGTAAATACCAATTTAAAAACCTGTCACCTTGAAGGAGGATGTGGAGGTGGCAGAATAGCCACTAGTGGCTGACGTGAGCGAAAGCATGGAGCCGTGTCTTCGCAAACTGGACTCTGAGCCATACCCAGAATCTGCCTGAGAAACATATGAAATAAAAAATATATATTATTCAGGTATCAAATTTAAGTCGTGTTATTGCATTGCTAACTTTTTTTTGTTTAAAATATTTTATTATTTCTGCTAGCTTTCTGGCATAATTTACAGTTCCAGTATTAAATACTAGTCATCTGACTACATTTCGATGTTTTTTTACATGAGGATCTGACAGTATGAGGCGATATGAGCAGAATCAGTGATCACAGCAGAAACACCTTTCCTGTTATACAACAGCCTGGCTTCAACATCAACGGCCCCCTGACAGAACAAGCCGAAAGCTACACTCAGAAACACAGATGAGTCTCTTTACAAGACACAGTTTCTGCCACTAGGGGGCAGGGCATGCAAACGCACATGACTGGGGATTTAGAGGAGATGGAGGTAACTATCGGTCAATGACCAAAAGTAGCTCTGCCCGTGTTCACATGGATGTCAGAGCCACTCTCTGTCCTTTATCCAGCATACTGCTGCCCTAGAGGCTGATATAGTGTTTGCATAAAGAACCCCTGATCTATTAAAACAGGAAAAAATAGAAAGCAAATAATGATGCATGATTAAAAGGAGCATTTATCACATGCTGGGTCAGCTGTAGAAGAGCTCCAACTCTGTAATAACATGCTAAGATGCACCACAGCAAATTATGAGCAATTATAATGACCACACTTTAAACAATGATAAATGTTCCTGTTTGAGGCATAAGAAAGCACTGTAACAAACATGTTTCTCACAAACCAGGAAATACAGAGAGATTTAAGTTTTTGCATTATTATTATTTTTCAGTCTCTGGGAAGCGAGTGTTGTTTCCTGTTTAAACGTCACAGGTCATTCTGGTGTTTGTTGTGTTCGCGTTACTGTTTTGGGTCTCCCAGGCGACCCTGGCTGGTCTGAGTAACGGTGGGTAGGAAGGAAAGTGCAGGGCCTCTCGAAGGTTTTGAGCGGTGAGTCATGATGGGAGGAATGACTGTGCAGAGCAATGTTGCTTGGATAAGTGGGGGCGAGGGTGCAGAAAGGGGTTTCCCCAAACCAGGCGCTGTGTGTGGGCAGCATGTGGTCGTGATGTGGACCTTCACTGTCTGTCAGACAGACCAGGTCTGTAGTAGGAATTTTAGTTTGACTTATGATGGTCTTCTGTAAAGGTTTTATTAAAAGTATTCGCACTCCTGACATTTTTTCATATTTTGTCACAGCAAAGCTACAAATTACAATGTATTTTATTGGGAATTTTTTTAAAGGGCAGTATCATGTATTTTCTAGGCACATATTGCCATTTTATAGCATAGCTATGTTGTTTTCAGTTCATAAAAAGTTTATTTTGTAATCTGATGCCTTGAAACTGGGCCTCCGTCTCTTTAAGAAACTACTGCTCTTTCTTAAACTCTGCCTTCAGGAAGTGATCACAACATGGCTCCACTATTAAACTCTTTAACAACATTTTTATCAGCATTGCACTGAGAAGTAGTTCCTATATGATAAGCTCAACAGATGCGCAATTCTACCAGGTGTTTGCTAATTGCTGCTGGCTAGTCTGAAGGAACTGAGTGAGAGAGATACCCTGAGAGTCGGAAGCTCAGAAGATTGGAAAATGCAGTGCTGAGGAGGAGCTTCATTGTCAAAGGTCCACCCAGGTGTTTTTCACAGCTGAATGGTTGCCACAGGATTTCTCAGAAATACATCAAAAATGTAAGGCAGGTTGTTTGTAATGAGGGAATAACATTATAAAATAACGGAAAGCTCAAAAAAGTCATACTTCCCCATTTAAGAATTTTTTTATGCGACTCTTATAATGTACTGTTCGCATTGTGGGGAACATTTGTGCTATATTTGTTTGTATTCCTTTTTTTACTTTTGTAACCTGGTATATTTTTATTGATAAAAAAACATACTTGTTTATTATTCTGTTTTTGGTGGAAGAAACTTGTTAACTTGTCTGTATTGCACAGTAATATTTTGTATTTATACTGATTGTACCCTGAAGGACTACAGATGAAAACTAGCCTGTATGCCAACACTGGAATATGTTTAAATGTGCACATACTCTTTGGAACAAACAACTTCTTCGGAAAGAGAAATCTGAAAAGGGCGCTGTCGTTTTGTAAGGTATTACAGACTAAGTGTCAGACCAAAACTGGATAGGTGATATTTCCGTGTTTCTGAAAGGGTTGGGTCATTGGGTTTCTCTTGTTGCTCGTCAACAATAGGAACTAGAAGCTGCTCCTTTTGTCAGCTATCCTAAATAAAAATGAAGACGGCTCATTTCACTTTCCCTTCCTCACCAGGCTGTTCACCCTTTACACCAACGATAAATCTGCAGAACAATAACGAAATAATCAAAACGCATGCTGCTCAGCTGGTTGTTTTCCAGTCCTTGCCACCTCAAAAAACTGGGATTAAACTGCTCGATTATTAATACATGCTTACGCAGTTGATTTGTTATTAATATTTGATCGATCACACATTCTTGCCATCAACAGTGAGCAGAGCTAAAGACACATAGTGACAGAACTCCTCAAACGCACCAGTGGTGAAGGGATGATTATTGTTCCCTGGATTCCTCCCTTCTGCCTCCTCCCTTCTCTGATACTCTAACAGAAACACACACACACACACACACAATGAACACACACGTTCACAAATCCAACCAATGTATGATGTGGTACTGACTGGGCTCTGGTTTTTTGTTGAGGTCGGCTGTGAGTGTGAAGGAACTTACCCTGTGTAGCTCGATGAACTCGATCCACTTGTTTCGGCGCTCGGGGTCTTGTGCTCGCAGGTACCACACGCTGTCGTTCACGCTGATGTCCAGCCGGCATTCGTCAAACTCGTGTGGCTAAACACAGAGAAAAAAAAAACAAAACACACGCATACAAAACAAAAAACAGGTTAGTTACCGAGTCACGTTTTGTTAATTACATGGATGTCTGATCGATTTATACGACTGTAATCCAGAACCAGACCCGGTGGAGTGAGTGGAGTTTGGGGGGCGTTGCCCTGGACTGGAAGCAATTTTTTTTTTTTTTTTAAACTTCAGAATGGCCAACGTTTTATTATTCCTATTTTGATTTCAAACGTTAAGGACTCCCACACTTTCTGTACCTGTGCCCTCTGACACACATTGACCTCAGTCACAAGAAATAAGTCTAGATTTTGCTATGATTTTTATTTTTGTTTTCTTGGGATTTTGTGTGTACCTGTGTGTGTCACAGGTACACACACTGTTAAGGTACAGGTACAGCACTTTTTTAGCCGTTACAACCATTTAATCCATTGTTTGCCTTTAAAAGCAACATGAGCGTTAAGATGCTGCAGCTGGTTTTACACCTGTGCTATGAAGCAGTGACGGAGACCTGCTGCTGTTCTACAGTTGATGCACAGTGTTAGCGAAATAATTACATCCATGCTAATATATCATGTTAAGCTTGTTAGCAAGAACAGGCTACTAATGTTATGTTATCATCTCTGGTTGATTTTGAATTTAAAGAAATGTATTGGAAACATTAAATTCTTAGATTTCTGCAATGTTTATGCTAATCTGAACTCAACTACTCAGCATTTTCTACATGTCACTGTATATATAACTATTGTTGATTTTGTATTAACACAGTTAATTTATTTGAAAGGTTACATAAACGTTCAGATACACAGTGTTTGAAAAGTATTCATACTAAAATATTTCTTTATTTTCTTCATTTATTTCTATTTTTTACAGTAATAAATGTACTTCATACGTACATTTTGCTGCTTCTTTACATCTCTTCTGCCAAACAACGACTTTTTGTTAATTGTGACGTATATGTAATGCATCAGTGAAGAATCTGTTTCTTAATCTGACTTTAGCTGGAAGCACGAAAAAACAACACTTCATTACTGGAACTTGAAATGTATCTTGTAAAGCTTATCTTTGATCCTTACAGCATTCCACTGAAAGAAGCAGCTATTTTGCAGTACAGAGTGCGTTTCTGAGCACCACTGTAAATCTGTATTGTGTGTGTGTGTGTGAGTGTATGTGTGCTCAGAGATAGAGGAGAGGGAGGGAGAGCAGTTATCCATTTAGCATTCAGGAAATAAACTGGGATGTTTGAAAGGACAGCTCTACCGTTAGCACCAAGGTTAAACTGCAGCAACAGAGCAGAATGATTTATGGTCGAGACCCTGGCGTGTTTAAGCACAGTCATGGACACAGAGAGAGGAAATGAAAACTGAACACACACACACACACACATACACACACTTTATTAGCAACTGTTGGTAAAGAGGGGGAAAAAAAAAAAGCAAAACTATTGTAAATGTAAACAAAAAAGAGGGACAGAGACTAAAATACTGCTATTTAATTTAATTAATGTCCCTTTGGGATCAGAAAAGTATTTTTGAATCGTTTTGGATTCATTTTACTGAGAAAGTCACTCTGACAAACATCAGCAAGTAATCATTGCGATCATCAGCTTTACATCTTAGCAAATCAATAGAATATTGAAAACATTAAAATGACCCTAGATGCCATTTCAGATATGCTGCGTGAGACAAGAAAGTCAATTTAATCTTTACCAAGGGCTGGATAGTTGTGATTTAGGTAGCATCCTTGCCGAGATACAGGAAGAGGAAGAACAAACGAAGGAAGCAGAGCTGACAGATCCACAATCGCAGCACAAATCTCCTTTTGTGCTGACATGTTAAAATAATAGTACTAGCCGCTTGCAGACAGAGAAGACGTTGGATGTGCACTGTGGTGGCACATTTGGTCGCTAGGCAACGGTGACAACATTTGTGCTGATTGATCATCTGTGGATGGCACGGTGACAACATCATGGACTGTAAAGCATAGCTGGTGGACAAAAAGAGCCTTTTGCACATACAGTCACATTGCAACAACACACTGTCATGGATTTTATTGATATTTATGAACTCCGATGAAAAAGGTATTTTGTGTGCGTGTGTATTTTTTAAAGACAATAGCTGAAAAGTGTGGCGTACATCTCTGCCTGTCAAGATAACTTTTGTTGGATGATAAACTGTTCCAGAAGTTATTGCAATAAACGATACGATTGTTTTCCTATCGTTTCAAGTAATGTGGTGATAATAGCTTAGTAATGGAAGGGAACCTCTCAAAGACTAATAAACTTTAACTTCTAGTGAACATTTAACATGAACTGGACGACCTTTTAAGTATTCAACAACAGAAACAAATAAAATGAATTATAAAGTCTCTAAACAAACTTGTCCTTCGAAAAAAGATCTAGTTGAGATCAAAGCTTCAGACTGAAGACTTTTGTCATCCAGTTTTTGGTAGAAAGAAAGAAAAGAGAAAAACGATAAATCATGCAAATTGAAATTATTGAGTTTGTTTTAATTTATCACGTGATTGATTGATTGCTTCTCTTGGTCCACTGGGGTTTAATTTTGCTTCAGAAAACAATCTGATTGGACGCTGAAAAAGACCATTATTGTGTGCTAAAATATGTTAGCCTGTTAGCAAAGCTATTCTAGCCTAATTTAGCATCTCAATGCTAATCATGTAGCAGCAGCACAGACACCTCAACGCCAACTCCAGCGAGACCAATGTTTATTTTATTCTTTTTTTCGCCTGGTATTTCTAAGGTACCTTTTACATAAGATCCCAATCAAAAGTGAAAAAATTGAAAGGGGTATGCATACTTTTGCAAGGTACTGTAAATGCACAGCAAGTAAAATCTAACACTAATGAAATAAAGGAACATAAAAACTAAATCAACTATAAAAGGTTACAAGAAGTTCCAAAAAACGCTTTTGTTAATCTGCGTAATAGCTGCTGTACAAGTTCAAAGGTTAAAGTGTGAGGAGTTACCCAGAAGAAAGCTTGGCCTTTAAGGTACAAGGAAACGATCTGATTAATTTGGTTTAATGTAGAAATATACATTTCAGATATGTATCAGTGGCTGAATTGAGACATGCTCCTGAGTAAAAAGGAAACAAATGAAATGAGGAACACAAGCGAAGCAGGAAGCGATCCACTATGATGCCCGTCTGACTCACTATGCAATGCCCTCAAACCAAAAGAGGAAAGAGGACTTTGTGACAATGAGGGAAGGTTTAAGAGATTTAAAACTCTTGTTTACCAGCAGACGCATATCAAATGAGAAGGAACCTCATTCGTCCTCCCACTAAACGTCCCCCTTTCGCTCACATCTAATTAGTATTAAAATAATTTAATGCTAGGCTCCGACTTTCTCCACCTGTATAGGAGGAAGTCAGGTTTGAATATTAGATGGAAGGTTTTTAAGGAAACCTTCAGTCTTGGTCATGCTCGGTTTATTTAGCGCAGGAAGTAGCATGATCCAAAAACATTAAATGATGAAGGTAAAACATCTTGACCCAGTCTCTGTTCTCTTCAGACATAAACTTCCTGCTCGGCTTCAAAAGAATCCCCTCCTGTCCTCTCCCATCAAAAGGAGAGGACAAGATGCGGTCTTAAAGCAGCGTACGTGTCTGCAGTCACAAACAAACGAAATGACAGAAACCAAAGTGGCTGAAATGGCTAAGGAACACAGACACACTTTGAGTTAAATAAATGATCTAAACTTTATAATTATCTTTAACATTTATTCAAACATCCCAAACATTTTCTCATATTAAAACCACAAACTTTAGTGTATTTTATTGGATTTTGATGTGACAGACCAATACAAATAAGTTTAAGAAACATCTAAAAACTGTGCTGTTAGTTTGTATCCAAACTCTCTGGATCACTTAAATTAGATACAAATCCTCCTGGGTGTGTTTCCATCAGCACCTCAGTCATGTTAGATTGAGAGCATCTGTGAACAGCAATGTTTAATTCTTGCCACAGATTCTCAATGAATTTTACTTCTGGACTTTGATTGGGGCATTTTAAACACATGTGCATATCTAAACCATCTCACTGAACGCTCTGGTTGTAATGTAATGTTAGGGCCTTGTAGAATAAAAAAAATAGTAATAAAAAAGAGGAGTAAATCTCTGCCAAACCTCAAAGTTTGAGACCAATCTCAGAAATTTTCTAGAAAAAAACTTGAAAGTTTTTGAGTTTGAAAAGTCAAACATTTTTGACTTCTCAAACTCAGAACTTTCTAAAGATATTTTTTGGCACAAATTTACTCCTATACATCCCTTATCTACAAACACGCTGCTCTCACCATGGGTCACAGTGAGGATTGTGGGTTCCTGGTGATGTGTGGTATTCTTTGCTATCTCCTAATCCTGCTTTAATCCATAACTCCTTTTTTAACTTAAAAAAAGTTACCATGCATCATTTTTCTTTCCCCTCATAATTTTACAACTTTCTGTTGGTTTATCACATAAAACCACCAATAAGAAGCATCAAAGTTTGTGGTTGTAACATAAAAAAAGTGAAAAAGTGAAAGTGATCTGAATACTTTTGCATGCTATCCAAATGATTCAGGCTTCTCCTTATGACAGAGCACGAGGAGGATCATTTTGCAGAATTCAGAACACTAAAATGAGATCATTACAGCTCTGCAGGAGGGAGCAACGAGTCACCAAGAGGTGAAAGAGAAAGATGGGGCAAAGGGAAGGTTACATCAGGATGGATAAACAGGCACAGCAGAGCCATCTCCACACACACACACATTCACACTGAGGTTTGTTGATCTTGACCCTCTTCATAACCCCCGCTGTGAGGGGAAGTCATGCGCTATGAGGAACAATCACATTTCCTGGCAGAAGACACATTGCATATTTCCTCAAAGCCTTACACCGAGTATATCTGACTTCCATTTCATCTCGTTTTCTGGCCTGCAGTGAAAGGCAGATTTATTCACATTCTGCGAGTCCGTTTCAGAAACATCCAAACAATCC